CCCTAAACCCTGAACCCCAAACTTTACCCGGAACCTGAGCCTGGTTCAGTTGATGCTCCCGGCTGCAGGCTGGGTGTTGTATGGAAGTCATGATTATTCAGGTATGTATTCTCTACAGGTAGATATTTTAAAAGCATAAGATATATATATGTAATACAATATAACATTATATTTCTGTATATATATATNNTATATATATATATGTGTATATTTATGTATATGTACATATCAAATTTCAAAAGCTCCAGACTTTCACCCTTGCTAATCGTTTCAGACACAGTTTAGGATCCAGCCCCACCTCTGCCCCGACATCCAAGTTTCTAGCTGTGTAAAATGGAGCTACAGCTTAAGCCGAAGACTGTACTAACCTTTCAACCAGATTGCGTGACAAACGGGGGGCCCACGGATTCGGATCTTCAAACCTTTAGCTAAATTGAAGTTCAGGCGTGTGGGAATTGAAATTCACCCCTAAACCCTAAACCCGCTGAGCCAAACTGACGGGGCACAACCCTCAAACCTTAAATCGTAAAATAGGGGAGAGCCTGCCTCATAGCGGCCACATATGGCTGCTCTGGCCTCTTAAGATCACACGACACGATCCGCACCCAAAAGTCTCAAAGCGGTAGATTTGAGATGGCTTCATACCTTCAAAGTGATTAAAAACTGTGTGGTTGCGTTCTTTTTGTTGGGGGTGTGTTTCAGGCAGGAAGAATGAAGTTTCAAGTTTTAAGCCAATCAGGGCTGAACCGTCGAGGGCGTGGCTTCTAGGGCCTTAGTCTTTGCAGACCTGTCGGTACCACAGCGACCTTTGCTGTCGTTTGCAACGTGGGGATTTTTATAAATTTCCCTTAACCCAAAACCCCTAAACCTAAACCCTAACCCTAAACCCAAAACCCCTAAACCTATTCGTGTTGTTGGCTTTGAAAACAGTTGCTTGGCTGCGAAGAGATATTGGAACTGTAAGTCCGTGGAGTCGGCTTTTGTCTGCAAGCTGTGTAATACCCAAAGGCTCCATGTACCTTTATAGTAGATACTTTGGCCTTAAAGTACCTAAATAGGAACCCCTTTAAGGCCTAAGTATCTACTATAAAGGTACATGGAGCCTTTGGAATAGAGGGGCCTTTTAATGTTCATGGGGTTTGGGGTTATATTATACTATAATTATAGTGAGGAGCCCCCAAAATGTTCGTGGGGTTCGGGGGTTATATTCTACTATAATCATAGTAAGGAGCCCCCGAAATAGTTTAGGTATTTATTGAGGCTCCTATGTAACCCAAATCCTTCAGCCCAAAATGCTAGTCGCTCACGCGCTAGATTTCCCAACATGTAACGCCTGTTCGAATCGACACCCTCGTCGAGAATCGCGTTTAAAGCTTAGGACATGCGAACTATTCTTCAACCCAAAACCCAAAACCCTAAACCCTAAACCCTAAAGCAAAACCCTAAACCCTAAACCCTAAACCAAAACCCTAAACCCTGAACACCTAAACCCTAAACCGTGGCCATCAACCCACACCATGCAGTGATGAGCCAGCTCCAAAGTTTGAGACTGATGCTTTGGAACATTAGCCACGGTTTAGGGCTTAGGGTTTTAGGGTTTTAGGGTTTAGGATTTTAGGGTTTAGAGATTAGGGGTTTAGGGGCTTTAGGGGTTTAGGGTTTAGGGTTTAGGGTTTAGGGATTAGGGATTAGGGGTTAGGGTTTCGGATTTAGGGCACTTGCCATCATCACCAAGCCAGCGACTTCTGAATTATAAAACAAATCACTTTCCTTGATAAGCCCGGTGCAATACGCGCAATGCTCCCCAAAGCCTTTTCGATGCTGTGGTTCCCTTGCCATTAACTCAGGCCCTTGTGTGAGACTTTCAGAACACGAGGGACCATGATATACACTTTTCATATTTGGGAGTCTGACTCTGATTGCACCCTAAGCCCTAAACCCTAAAGTCCCCCCCAAAAAAAAAACAACTCACAAAAGAACAAGTTTTAATCACTCAACTCATAAGCCTCGCCCTCCCAGAATCCAGGTGTGCAAAGCCAATGGCTTCCGCAGTTGCGACACTTCGATTGATTACGCCAAGTCTGACGGGTTTACGGGTTGGGATTGCGTGGCGCACAGTGACGATCATTCCTGAATGCCGCAGCTGTCCCTAGTTCTCAGTTCGAATTGGCCGAGATCACGGTAGGATACGCGATTTGGGCGTCTGGTCTTGGGCTTACATTACAGACCCTATATTAACCCTCAGCCCTAAACCAATAAACGCTAAGCCCTAGCCCCTAAACCCCCTAACCCGAGTAAACATGATGTCATTCCCCTAAGCTTTCATCCCTCTACCCTTAACCCTAAACCCTAAACCCACCCTAAGCTCTAAACCGTCTACATGCCTCCACGATCCCGAGGACAAGCAGAAAATGGCAGCGCTCGACTCCAACGATAAGGCGGGAGTTTCCGAGACTCACTGTTTGAGGGATTTAGTTTAAGTTGCCATAATAAGCTTAAACTTGATCCCCTAACAAGAACCCAGTAAACCCTAAACCCTAAACCCTAATCCCTTAACAAGAACCCAGATCAGGCCATCCCCATAAAGACTCACACACCAGGACCCGAAGAATAGACAGAACCAGATGTAAGGTTTTAGGGTTTTTGGGTTTTGGGTTTAGGGTTTAGGGTTACAGAACCAGATGTAAGGTTCTAGGATTTTGGGTTTGGGGTTTAGGGTTTAGGGTAGAACCCTAGGCCCTAAACCCTAAACCCTAAACCGTAAGGAACCCTAAACCGTAAGGTCAAGGCGGCTTTTGCAAAAGTCGGCCACGTCTGCAAGAGTTTCTCGGGCGCAATTCTCTATCGGATTCATACCCGGCCAAATAACATGTAGTACTCGTGTCAAGTTGTATACTGGGGTATCCCCGACACCCTCTTCTGATTGTTGAGGCCTTGTTAAGGCCCCTGTACATTCTAGGTTTTGCTTGGGACCGGCTGAAAGTCTTTGAACGGTATATGTCCAAGGATCAGAAATGTCCCTAGCCTCGGTTTTGTGGAATCCGCCACCTCAGCTACGGAGTGCTTTCAGCGCCAAGGTTTCCATGCATCGCGGAACTATCCCGGTGCCCCATTCATCACAGGCCGAAAAAATGATGATTGCACCTGGGCTGAGTGGATCTTAGTCAGGATCTTAGGCTCCTGGGGCTATAGGTCTGAATAGTAAGTATTGCGTAGCAACATGCCTTCATAGTCCCAACATAATCAAACTACCAAAATGTCCCTTATGGTTCCTGTTGAGGTACCTATTCATAAATACTTTTCAGGCCCCCAAAACTACACCCAGACTATGCTGTAATGTAGGGGCCTGAACAATTGCCAATACTATTTTGGGAGCTCCTTGTTATAGTTATAGTCTACTCGGCCCCAAAACCCTATTCGAACTATTCAGGCCTCTCTATGTTACCCCAGAACCGTTTCAATAATCCTTAGGGGGTCCCTAAGCCCTAAAGCCTCCAAAGCATCCTCCAGGAACAAAGAGGCTACCTTCTTGTTTGCATGAAACTCAGCAAGGAAGTCAAGGGTTTAGGGTTTAGGGCTTTTAGGGTTGGCCCATGGAGGTTTCAAGAGTTGTGAGGCTTAAGGGGTCCACAAGTTTCGGCTGGATTTAGATTTCAACCTTGTGGATGCTCTATGGTTGAAGTTGGAGCATGCGATGGCTGCTCTGGGTTCAGCCTCCTCGTAGTGATGATCGCTGAATACAGGGCCGAACAGTCCCCGCGCCCTAGCTGCGCTCCCGTAATCACAGCAAAAACTCAAGCCTTAAAGCCTGAAGCCCCAAGCCATCCCGAAACCCTAAAGCCCAAAACCCCAAACCGCCGAAATCCCCAAATCCGTGGACCCAGGCACGCCAGTAACTTCCGGAACATCGGCGAGTGCCCTGAGCTGCTCAAGCGTCCGACATGCCAACACGGCTCCGCTCTGTGCGTGCAAGGACAAGGTGGTGGAGGCGCTCTGGGTTCTTGGGGGTTTAGGGCTTTAGGGTTTAGGGCTTTAGGGTTTAGGGTTTAGGGCTTTAGGGTTTAAGGGTTTAGGGCTTAAGGGTTTCAGGGCTTATGGCCTTAGTGGTTTAGGGCTTTGAGGGTTTAGGGTTTGGGGTTTAGACCTATCCTTTTAGGGTTCCTTATTATGGTTGCTATATATAGTTCTTTAAACGGGGGTTTAATGCATCAATTGTTTTGAACAAAGTTCCACTCTACAGCCTCCTCGCTACAAGGCATAAGTTGGGCAAACGGAGTCTTCCTTCGGCAGATGCTGCTTAGGAGTCCATTCGACCAGATCAGAGTTCATGACCCTAAATCCAGGGTTTAGGGTTTAGGGGTTTGGGACCCTAAGCCCTAAACCCTAAACTGATTCATGAGTATTCTCTAAATCCAAACTTGTAATGGCTGTCCTCAGCATGGATTATTCGTATTCTCAGGCGAAACTTCTGCAAACCTGAATGCTAATACCAACCTAAACCCTAAACCCTAAACCCTAAACCCTACAGCTCTCAACATAAGGCCTAAGCCATCGGCCCTAAACCTTAAAACCCGAAGCCCTCGATCCTAAATCCTAAAATCCTAACCCTGGACCCCCTAAACCCTAAACCCTAAAATCCAAAACCCTAAACCCTAAACCCTAAACCCTAAACTCTAAACCCTAAACCCTAAACCCTAAACCCTAATCAAGAGCAAGCTCCGAAGTGAGGGGTCTCAGAGCTTAGCTTCCATAGTTCAACC